TATCGCTACGGCACACGATAGACCGCGCCCCTGCTCGCATCTCGCACCCGGCCTCGTAGATTCCCTGCATTTCCGCCCGTGTTAGACATACATACACCATGGCCGAGGCTGCCCCCGCCCCCATCGAGATCAACGACGCTTACTTCTGCCAACACTTCAAGGAGGTGGTGAGTACAAGGCCCTGCCTATCACCAAGGAGCGGCAGCCGACGCCTTCGACCATTGTAGTGCTCCAGCTGTTCGTACGACGGCAGGGAAGAGAACGACACCTTCTTCGGGGTACGCCGCCCCTGTTCTCGCCGCCTGCTCTCGGACTCACCTTGCAGCTCAGTTCGACCCCATTGACCGCGAGGGCCTCGAGGCGCCCCCGTCGAGCGTGAACAAGGACGGGCAGTACCAGTGCAAGAAGCACGGGTCTCCAGGTTCGTCCCTTATGAGCTGCATGGGCGATATAGGCTCAGACTCACCTGGAATTGCGTTATCGCCCTTGTTCAGCGTGCAACCAGTGCTACGGCTGGAAGAAGCAGATCACCCGCGCACGCGCAGCCGCGAAGAAGGCGGGCAAGAAGTCGTCATAAGCATTGAGCTTTAATCTGCATGCGGAGGGCAAACCACTGGGGAACAGTTCTTGTACGATACGTCCTTGTGTGTACGATGCGAGCATGTACGATGGAGATACCGAGCGAACAAGAATAGCGTTGACATGAGCGGAACCAGACTAGCTGAGGAGATTAAGGCTTGTTCCCTGAGCGACGGAGCTTCGAGTCATTCATGATAAGTGGCGTCGACATGAGAGGGACTGGATTAGGTCGTAGAGCTGCCGGTGAGAAGAGGGCTGATGAAGAGCTTCCCGAGAGAATGGAGAGTGTGCCGCACTAGCGTGTCTTCCTCCGAGACCGGGAGGCCACGAGTACTGCGTTCCAAGTCTCAAACGAACAGTACACAAGATCGATGCCGCACCTCCTGCATGTCATGCACGGTCGCCAAGTTGCAGACGCAGCAGGAGCAGCCTCCACGATGTCCTGCCAGATGACCACCCTTCGCAGTCCAGACGTCGCTAGGCTGACCACGAGCAGACGTGAACTCGCAGCCACGAGCCAATGCCGTCTTGGACAATGTAATGCGCGACGCGGAGCATCTGCCAGGATCCGGACGCTGAGGGTGCTGATCATAGCACGGCGATTTGGCATCCCAAAGGACGTCGGGGAGAGAGACGCGCGAGAGAATTTGTCAGCCGCCCGTTGCCGTTTTCTCGTCAGTTTGTCGTGATCTCGTCATGCTCTCGCCACCCGTTCCTGCGCTCAGCCTCGTTCCTCCTCTATAAAACCCTCGTAGGCCCCTCGAGCCTCCGGAAAAACCACTACCCTCTCTCGATACCGCTCTCTCGCACCCCCTCCTTATCCGGCACAGATAGAGCCAGGATGACGCCCGCAATCATCAACGGAGCGGCTTCGACCTCCAACGGCCGCGTGCCAAACGGCGCGCACGCCGCGAACGGCGTTCATGCCGCCAAAAAGGCCAACCAGGATGGCTTTGGCACGCGTGCAATCCATGCGGGCTCCGAGGCGAATGAGGAGACCGGCGCGGTCATCCCGCCTATATCCCTGAGCACGACGTACAAGCAGAATGGTATCGGCAACCACAAGGTGTGTAAATCACAGAGAAAAACCAACCAAAACTCTGACAAGTGACGCGTCGGGCAGGGCTTCGAGTACTCTAGATCCGGCAACCCTAATCGGAACGCGTTTGAGACGACGCTCGCCGCGCTCGAGGCGGGCGGAGCGTACGCGCTCGCCTTCGCGTCCGGCTCTGCGACGACTGCGACCGTTTTGCAGTCCCTCGGACCGGACGCACACATCATCAGCGTGAACGATGTGTATGGCGGCACTTTCCGCTACATGACTCGCGTCGCCGCGGAGAACCAGGGCCTGCAGACCACCTTCGTCGACCTCGAGAACGCCGACGATGATACCATCCGTGCTGCATTTAGACCAAATACCAAGGTCCGTGCTCTTGTATCCCGCTCGGATCGATACAGATAGACTGACGCGCTTCTCTCGGTAGCTGATCTGGATAGAGTCCCCCACGAACCCGACCCTCCGCCTCATCGATATCCCGCGCATCGTCGCCCTCGCGCGCGCAGCGCCCTCCGACCCCCTCGTCCTCGTCGACAACACCTTCCTCTCGCCATTCTACTCCTCCCCGCTTCTCCAGGGCGCCGACCTCGTCATGCACAGCCTCACAAAGTACGTCAACGGCCACTCGGACGTCGTCATGGGCGCGCTCGTCCTCCCCGCACACCGCGCCGCGCTCGCGGACAAGCTGCGGTTCCTCCAGAACGCGATCGGCGCGGTCCCGAGCCCGTACGACTGCTGGCTTGCGCAGCGCGGCGCGAAAACGCTCCACCTGCGCATGAAGGCGCACGGCGCGAACGCGCTCGCGGTCGCCCGCGCTCTGCAGCGCAGCCCGCACGTCGAGGAGGTCATCTACCCCGGCCTCGCGTCGCACCCGCGCAACGACCTCGCGTACCGCTCGCTCTCGCCGCACGCGCGCGTGTTCGTGGATCGATATGTGGAGGAACACGGTGACGACGCGGGCGGGTTCCCGTATGGCGGGATGATCTCGTTCCGCATCCGCGGAGGGGCGGCGGAGGCGGAGCGCTTCTTGACCGCCACGCGTCTGTTCACGCTGGCGGAGTCGCTCGGGGGCGTGGAGAGTCTCGCAGAGCTCCCGGCACAGATGACCCACGGGAGTATCCCGCCGGCGGAGCGTGCGCAGCTCGGCATCGGCGACAACCTGGTGCGTCTGTCGGTCGGTGTCGAGGACGCAGAGGATTTGGTCGCGGACGTCGAGCAGGCCCTGGAGGCCGCAGCTGCGCTGTCGACGCCTCCCTCTCCCTCGGCATGAACTTTCCGGACTGTCTGAAGTCTCGTGCAAGCGAACGTAGCACAGTCAGCAGTCGTATGTGTAGTTCATTTAGAGGTGCTGGGGTCTCGCGTTGGTATATTACTGTACGACGTTAGTCGTTAATCAAGAAGCAGAATCATAGAATAGGAGCCGTTTTGGACACTACGCCCACGATGTGGTCTGAAAGCATCCAGCCATGCTCGTCCGATCCGACTTCGACGCACTTCTCAACCCAAGCCTACGAAGAAGACGTGAGTGAGTGGAGCCGATCCAAGAGGGCACTCGCAGTGCTGTACCTCGAACTCCTCGCCCTGCAGCTCGTTCACCAGCTTGTCGAGGCCTCCAGCGAGGAGGCCTTCCGCGCCGACCATCTTGACGTGCTCTTCGCCAGTGATGCGCTTCAACATCAGAGGCATATTCGCCGGCATCTCGTGGTTCATCGCATGGCACGGATCGCCGTTCTCGTCGAGCCGGATGTAATCTCTGCATCCGGCACTGTGAGAACGTCCCGCGAACCCACAGGTTCAGGGAGGAGCGTGGTACGCACCCGTCCCGCGCATGCTTCGCGTAGAAATCCTTCTTTCTCGCCAGCCTCCCAGGATCGCGCGTCGCCACGTCCCGGTAATGCGCCCACCTGCTCACCCACGCGCAGAAGAGCGTCCCACCTCTCTCCTCTCTGTCGTCATCCGCGCGCGGGCGCACCATCGCCCACGCCTCGCGAATCGCCTGCTCGCGCAGCTCCGGAGACATTATGTGGTAGAGCGGTCCCAGGAGGAGAACAGCGTCGTATGTCCCGCGTTCTGCTGCGGGGATGACGGAGGAAAGAGCCGTGGCGTCGCCTTGGAGGATGCGTGCGGGTTGGGAGGCGGGGGGGAGCGACGCGGCGCGCTCGCGGGCGAGGGTGAGTAGGCCCGGGGAGAGATCGACGAGTGTCACGGAGTGTCCGCGCGCGGCGAGGGCGAACGAGTACGGGCCTGCGGACGTTCAGCTCAGAGAAACGATTGGACAGCAGAGTTGAAGGGCATATGGCCACTCACCTGTCCCACCGCCGACGTCGAGGATCTTCAGGCCCGTCCGTCCAGGAGGAAGACGGCCGAGGATCGTGCGGAGGGTCACCTCGAACTCGATCCGGTGCTGGCGCAGACGGTCATCCTCCACTTCGGGGTGCTCGTTGTACTGCTGCGAGGTAAGCGCATGGAGTTCTTGGGGTGTGGCCATGGTTGATCACGGCGAGGCCTGTCCGGGTCGGCCGGCTCGCAGCTACGGGACTGACGAAGCACCACTCATGCACATACATTATATACTCGTCCGGGTCGTCTCGGCGCAGCGGCCTTGGGTTGAAGTGATCTCGAACGCCGGCCGTCGACATGTTCGCGTCGGATCCCTCTGCATGCAGCTAGGCACGCCGGCTTTGCGCAGTCTTGACTTCTCCTCCGGTACCGACGCAAGACTCAGTGTCTGGCGACGACTATCGTTCAGTGGCGTATATGCCGCCGAGACTCGACTCCTGCATGTGAACGTCATCTACGTTCTGATGAAGGAGTACTGCGTGGCCATGGATCGATATCGACAAGGATAATCACCCGTGTATAGCGGTGTGCGATCCGCATCGTCAAGCAGATTGGAGACGTCGCCTGACCACTGTCGCAAGAGCTTATGAATACATTAATGATGATGGCGGCAGCTGCGTGCATGCACTGTCTGTACTGTACGTGCTGCAACCGAGGACGACCGGGGTCGAACGAGGTGCAACAAGGAAAAAAGCAGTGTCCCAGGGAGGATTCGAGCCTCCGTCTTCACGGACTTGTGTTTCCACAACGTGACGATCTGACCACTAATCGACAGGGACCGGGAGTTGTTCCCAAAATGTCACATTTCCGTCCGATGGAGAGACGGTGGACTCACCGCAGTCCGACCGCTGAGATTGTCACCTGGGCCCGGGTGAATACAATACAGCAGCAAAGTCTCGTGGAGTGTTGTGAAGAAAATATCTTTCTTTTCAAGGCCCACGGCCGACAACACTACAAGCCAAAGAAGAACGCACGTTGGAATGTTGTTCTGATTCGAAGGCGAATAAAAAGCATGGCAAAAGAATGTCCCAGGGAGGATTCGAGCCTCCGTCTTCACGGTTCTGTGGAAGTACCACAACGTGATGATCTAACCACTAATCGACAAGGACCGGTAGAAATAGCCCTCGGTGACATATCTGAGTATTGGACGTACTGGGAACACGGTGAGCAGAGCAGTGAGCTGCAGCAAGGCGATTCGTAATCTGGTTCGGTAGGATTCAGGTAAGATGGCGCTCTAAGAATACGCACGGGCGTACCATAATACACAATTGATTGGGACGCGGGAACTGATTGCTCGATCAGTACACAGGAGGCACAAATAGACAAATAGTGCTGACGACGGCCAGGGCTTCTTGGTCAGTCCCAGGCTGCATTGCTGTAGCAGGGCATCGACGTCCCTCTCCGGTCGATGGCGTTTCGAGCGAGGTTGCGACGCATGCATCTCTGATGATAATCTGAATGACATCGCTGAATTTGTCGATGAGAAGAGCAGATGAATGAGCAAAGCAGACGGGGCAGGTAGAGTAGAGACTTTCCGGCGTACGGCCTACAAGGTCGGGATGAACGATTCGTGCCAGAACGGGTTACCGTGTAAGGAGAAACACGACTCTATTCGTCGACAGAAGCGCGCGGACGTTTCGGGTGTGTGAGAGCGTATACACCCATCCTGGATGATCGCTGGTGCTTGGTCTCTTTGATGTTGCCGTAGGTCGCTCTTGGTAAGCAGGGAGCCTGGCTGCTAGGATCACGTCGACGGCGTAGCCGTGATATAGTTGACAGATAGAGCAGCGGTCAGCATCAGCGGATTATTCAGAAAAAGAGGCCATTTGTGGGGAGGAGCTCGATCGCGGGAGGTGGACGAGAGAATCATTCCGGATATGGAAGGAGCGCGTAAGGGGCGTCTAACGCGCTGCAGTACTTGTCGACTATGACGACACAGCGGACGAGACGAGACGATGGCATGGGCCACACCACGCGCGACCAGTACTCGGTCCTCTCTTCGTGCGCTGCAGCCATCTATCGTGGGGGAAATTTGGAATCGCTGATTTCCGGGTGTGCGAGGGGTCCCGGGGAACGGCGGGGATAAAGGGAGCGGGGACCGAGGGCAGGGGACTGGATACGGTGGCTGGAGGAAAGAACGCGGAAGAACGGACTGCTCCCCAATCGAGGACAGAACGTCTCACGGCATCCCAGACAGTCCTCCTGCCCTAGACGCTCGATCGATGTATATAACCCGGCCGCTCGTCTCCCCTCCGCTCCTGCACTCCTCAGCCGCTTCTTGAATGTGCTTCCCCGGAAAGCGCCTCAAGAACAACCACACCGACGACCCCGCACCCGCCCCTAAGCCTGCTCAAGCTCCCGCACCCCCCGCCGCACCCGCTGCTGCTACTGCACCTGCGACCAACCCCGCACCCGCCCCTGAGACTACCCCTGCACCTGTAACAGAGACCGCACCCGCTGCAACCATGTCTACTCCCAAGGTCGCGATCGTCATCTACTCCATGTATGGCCACATCGCCAAGCGTGCGCATCGCGTCTCGTTCATGCTCTATCCGCGTGCTCATTCCAGCCCATGCATGCAGTGGCCGAAGGCGTCAAGGCCGGTATCACCGCTGCCGGAGGTTCAGCCACCATCTACCAGTGCGTTCCCCTTCTCCCGGACTCGGCTCTAGCTCTGCTCACGCGCGCACCCTCGCAGGATCGCTGAGACGCTCCCGGAGGAGATCCTCCAAAAGATGCACGCGCCGCCCAAGCCCGCGTACCCCGTCCTCGCGCCGACCGACCTCCCCCAGTTCGACGCCTTCGTCTTCGGCATACCCACCCGCTACGGCAACTTCCCCGGCCAGTGGAAGGCGTTCTGGGACGCGACCGGCGGCCTCTGGGCCTCGGGCGCGCTCGCGGGCAAGTACGTCTCCGCGTTCGTCTCCACCGCTTCCCCTGGAGGCGGCCAGGAGTCGACGATCATCGCCGCGATGTCGACCTTCGTCCACCACGGCATGATCTTCGTGCCCCTCGGGTACAGCAAGGCGTTCGGCCAGCTCACGAACTTGAGCGAAGTCCGTGGTGGTGAGTGTTGTGTCCTATGCTCGGCTGTGGATAGGATGGCGGGGCGAGGCGCATATATGCGCCCGTTTCGTCCGTTCTGCCCGCTAGTGTGTTCTTTGGAGGGACTCTGACGTCGGACGTTGCATGCAGGCTCACCTTGGGGTGCCGGTACCTTCGCCGGTGGCGACGGTTCGCGCCAGCCCTCGGCTCTCGAGCTCGAGGTCGCGGAGATCCAGGGCAAGCACTTCTGGGAGACTGTCAGCAAGGTCAAGTTCTAAGTATATGCGCGCCGCCATCCGTATCACCGTGGCTCCATGGACGATGCAAAACGCCATGAAGATTGTGGAGGGGACTGTACATTGTATAATAGAAAGGAGAAGTCTCTTGAACGTTCGCTCGTCACCTGGCGCGTGCCTTAGAGGACTCAGATGCTGACGGGTAAGTTACTGCAGAGTTTTTTGCAATGCGACGTACTCGTGATTGTGGCGTACGCCCGCGTGCAATTGACCCGCTCCTCCATCCTTCGCCGACTCTCCGAGCCTCAATTTCTACCAATCTCATCACCCGTCCTGGAGACCAATGAGGCTCCAGGAACGCGGATAGAACCTGCGCATTCCATGAGCCGTCACGGTTGCCGTGCCTCTCCGGCCGTACCTACAGTACATCTCGTCAAGTGTCGCGGTCAGCTGGCCGCGTACTGATGCCATCTGGGTGAGCAAATCCCGTGTGGCCTGATCGGCCAAGCTGAATGGGACTAGGAAGTCCGCAAGGTGTAGTACGTTCGTACGAAGAAGCTCGAGGACCCGATTGCACCGATACCGTACAGTGGCCAGGTGGGCGTCGACGCGGCGAAAATACCGTCAATTTTGCAGACTATCCTGGGGCTTGGCGACGTGGTCATGCATCATGAGGGTGGGAGTTCTCGCGGGCTCGCGCCATCTTGAGCGGATGCGGAGAGGACGGTCGTCCGGCGAGGGCGGTGAATGCAGTAGGACGGCGTTGGTCGGGTAACGAATTATGTGCCTATGTAACGTCCTGCTAAACAAATAGAGCGTCACGAGAAGAGGATACCGCAGCTGAGAAGGCCCTCAGAAACGTACCGTACAGAGCCCGCCAGGCGCGGCGCCCGAAGGAGCACCAGTCGAATGGAGTGGTATAGCGCAAGGCGGCCGTCACTTCGGTTTGTTACCTATGTGAAATGCGTTTATGATTCACGGGTATGGCTATTGAGGGCGGAGTGGATTGAGCTGGGCGACTCGTGGTTCGACGGTACGAGGTGACCGGTGAGCTTTGAGCGGATGTTCGGCGCAGGTCGCGCGACAGTCCTCCATGAGCTCTAAGAGCGATAATATTCCGCAAAGCCGCCTATTCGCAGTGGCGACAGCGTATACGAAGTCCCAGAGATCAAAAGTAAGCCAGACATTGAGTTGATCGCCAAGTTGAACGTCGAAGAGACTTTTAAGGAGGACTCGCGAGCAGAGGACGCAGGAGGTACACGGGGGGTCACGTGGACGACGCGTCGCGTGCCGGCGTCTATGTTGGGTTGTGGCGTACGCTCGCAGCCACAGCGGTATTGTGGCGTCGATGTTGCTCTGGTCGTACGACCACGAGAAGCGGCAGACGGTGTCTTCATATACTCATGAAGCGGTCTGGAGAGAGAGCGCTAAGAAGGAGGGCGTAGGCGGCGGGATATCGGGCTCGCGAGGTGGGATGTGGCGCGCACGTCCTCGATCCCACCAGGCGCGGTCAGCCTCAGCACGCCGCCGAAGACGGCCTGAAGGGGAATAGCATACGGCGTGACGCTAGAAGGAGGGAACAAAAGAAGGGTCAGGCGTAATCGCAATGAGGCTCACCGGGAACTCGCGGCGGAGTGCGAACCGCCCAGGTATAAAGCCCCGCACGCACACCCCATGTTCGGATCGTCCTTTGTCCGCCTACCCTCACCCACATACCGTGGCCCCCCTTCCATCCCCTTTCACCGTTTTCGCCTTGCTTGTCCGCCCGCTATGCATGGCGCCTCCCGCGACTAGCTTCTGACGCGCCTCATCCCGTTCCCCGTTCGCCACCGCCTCCCCCTTGCATCCGTCGGGCTCGCCACATACGAAACGATCAATCTATCGGCGCGCCGCAACGTCGGTCGACGTCGTACACCGCCAGGAAACAACGCAACAACCTGCCCCGACTTGATGATGCTTGCTGAGTTGACGCCACCGCCGACCCTCGCGTACGCCACATGCCACTATCGCCTTACTGACGAGACGAGACCTACTCAGCAAGGTCGAGCGCGGATGTCGCCAAAGGATGACCGGCGATACACTGTCCGAGAATACAGCACAAGTCGTCGGCGTGCGCCTATTCATCGGGTAGACCTGGGATACAATGGCGTCACGTCGAGATCGTCACCAACCGCTCGTCAAGGTTGAGATTATACTCACCGGAGACGGAACAGGAGTTATGCGACCAGTGTCAAGAAGTTAGGGGACCGCCAGAAGGCCATGCATCCGAACGTCGTTGGTTCGGCTCAGGATCGCCATTACGGACTGAGACAGGCAGCAAAGCCCCCAGTGGCATTACCGCCCGGACCCAGGTGCATACCATAGACGGCAAGCAACCTGACGCACAGGTCGGTCCGAGAATAGACCCGGAAGACACATCATACTGCCGGTGGAAAACTTGCAGAAGAGGCTACACATCAACACATCAGGACACGACTCAAAGATGGGGTCCGCTCGTGGCACTGTCGGTCGCGGCTTCATAACAGCTCCATCCGGGTCTAGGACGGGGCGAAGCCGATATTGCCTGCCCACAAGTCGGCGCACTGTAACCGACAACCAAGACATTGGGTCAATGAGCCAATGCGGAGATGGTACCGAGAGGACACACCTAACGGCCACCCGTACGACGACGCCAAGGTTAACTGCACATAGCAAGGGCGGGAAGCACAGGAATTCGACGATGATCCACATCTTTGATGGCCAATTCAGGGAACCAAGACACAACAGTATACCGAGACCAAAGTCGAGTCAGGACCGGTCAATCGAATGCAGACCAAGCCCACACATGG